GAGTAATTTAAGTGCCCACCGCTTTACAGATGTAGCCTCTGACATACCACTCAAAAGCTAAGTACAGCCCTTGGCCTCCAAGACATTAACTTCCTTCACTGCTTAATCCAGCACATTACTCAACGTACAGGCTGTTTATTACATTATTTCAAGCAATAATAACATGAACAACCAATCATCAGGCTGCTAATTAAGCCTACTGAAAGTGCAGAATCTTCCATTAGTTTCACTTCGTAAGAGTGATAATAAAACACATCTCCCTAAAATATTCCAGTGCCAACTCCATCTTTAACGTTGTATCTTTGTATGACAATTGTGTTTATTATAGGCCAGTGGATGGGACTGAAAACATAAGACTTCTCATTATGTTGTGAACACTAAAGGCTCTGATCTTCCATGTGACATCAATTATTCCATTTATAAGAGTTTGTTTCCTTTGCTTTTTGTTCTTTGTTTTATGGGAGGCTGGCTGTTGCATTCTCTACATAGCTGTCAAACAAGCAGCTTGATACAAATCCTGCTCTTTCTCTGATGTGCAGATGTTACATTTTAGTTCTGCAGCCCAACAATTGTCTTAGTACCAGGACACATTGGAAGTTGCATGCCATCTTTCAGCTGCTCAGTTGGGTCACAACTGTAAGATTTTGCAAACATTCATGGCCAATTCTTCATCTTAGAAATGAGTTAAGTACTCTAACTTTATGATAGATATACATATTAGTAGAGTAAACATTCCAAAGCAACCCTCAGTCATTCTTTACTTTAAAAAAAAAAAAAAAAAAAGCAGCAACAGCTACTATGGAAATCATGAAAGAGGTATCAGGGACATCACAGATATTAACCAATAGGGCATTCTTCATAAATGATATTTTCCCATTAAAGTTGAATCACTCAAAAAAATCTGAGCTTCTACAAACCACTTTTTTTTTTTTAGATAAATAACACTTTGTAGAGCAACAAGTCAGTATTAGACTGCGGCATCATTTTTAGCCAGAGTTTTGCATCTCTCTTTATACTGTACTTGGGTATTTCCACCTGGGTAATTTGTCTCTTGTCACAGTCAATAAAACTGAACCTTTCTGTTGTGGTAGTAACTCTGATTCAGCCACATCAAGTGTAGTGATGTAGTGATGTAGTGAAATCAGTGAATAAGTGAGCAGATGCAACAATATAATCTGAAAGTTGTACAGTATGAGCATAGATTTTAATTACCAGTGCAATAACAAGAGGATCTAGCCATTTAGCCTATAGAAAGAAGACTGTGGTCTATGATCTCTGAAACTTCATAAGCAAGTGTTAAACAAGGAAGCACTAGTTCTGTATTTTACTCTCAGTGGTAAAGGTTTACTATTAGAAGTTATTAAATCATGGCAAATTACAAGTCTGAAAAATAAAATGATTGCACTATGTTACGTTCATTGCACAGTTGTTTTTTTTAATTCTAGCATTATTAAGTTAAACAAATCAGTGTAACCTTTTCTACAAGTGCCTTACTGTTGATATATTTGATTATTGTTTCATTTATTGATCAAGGGACCTATATGATTGCAGTCTGGTACAGTAAGCATTTCTCTTACTTTACCAAAAAAGGGGGAAAGGGAGCAGAAGCCAGGGGCTTAGCTAAAGAAGCTTAATAGAAAGAGAATTATGTACAAAGAAAGTGGGAAAAAACAGATGTTAGGAAAGCATTCACATCTAAGAAGAGAAGCAAAGGCCCTTCTGAGAGAGTTCTTGCACCTGTTCTCAAAATTCAGACTGTGCCTACTGGCTCAAAATGGTTGGGAATTCTTGTATTTGACAAATCAAGAAAAGAAGTTAAACAAGGAGGAACAAGAGTGTACTAGCTTTTAGAATTAAGAAGAATGGAATTATACTTAATGATGGCTTTTCCCAATGTCATGACTCTCAGATATCCTGGGTTACAAGTTCTGTCATTCCCAGCCATTATGTCTTGTTGATTGGAATGCTCTACTGTACTTAAACTTTATATCCTTCATTCCTAGACTTTTTTTTCCCCAGACATTCTTTAAAATTGAAAGAGAACCTGCAGTGGGTGGAATCAACTTACGGGTATTTTGTGGAGAATTAGTGTAAGAGGTTAAGCACCGTTTTCATATCCCCTATGTTCATTTTCTCCATGGACTCAACCATTGGCAAAATAGCACAGAAGTGGTTTGTCACTGCTTTCTACTAGGGTATTTTCTTAATCTAACCTACAACTCTCATATTCCCAGATGAACCCCCAGTCAAGTACTAAGAATGCCATCCCAGCTTAGCTTTCAGGCCTAGGCAAGATCAGCGGGGAACTTCTACCTGCTAAGACATATTCAGCATTATAGTTTATCATTCTGTTTATGAAATATGTCATCCCAATCTAAAAGTACAGCTTGCATTTTAGGTGAGATAAAAATAAAAGGTAATATAAAGAGCAATGTACAGTCCTCACTTTGGGCATACATTCAAGGGATAAAGCATTTTGCAAAAAGAAGTGAACACATTTTTTAATCTCTTAAAAACCTTGAAAAAGGAAATTTGTGACTCAGATTTGCAGCATGGTCCCCCCCCCCCCTTCTTGGGTGAGAAGACAGTACTCCATGGCCACTGAAACCACAAAGCCATAATCCTGCTTTGTTTATCCAACATCGAAGAACATCCATTTGCTAGGACTGCAGCTGTAAGGTTAGTCTCGAAATGCACTCAGTGTGTTCCAACCCAAGCAGTGGTTTTCAAAATTCCACCCTTATCACTTTTGTTTTATTTAGCTCTCACAGGCCATATAACTATTTCTATATGCACAAGAAAAGCTGTTGCAAACATGCCACCGTCAAGAGCGCTTGCAAACTGACAAAAGAGTGAACGTGTTCTTTCAAGTGTAGTCATAGCTTCGTAAAACAGCATAATTTTTTTTTTCACATTAATAATGAGCTGGGAGCCAGTCAAGCTAGAGGAAGGAGCTCTGGATCAGGCAGGAGCAACCCAAAACCAGGAGCTGTTTTTATTGAGGTTCTGGTACACATGTCCCCTGCCTGCCAATAATCCCAACTAAAAAACTATCCTTTGTGCTGCAAAAAATAATAGATTAAAAGCTTCCTAGGACTATCATGCCTGCTTTTTCAATATACAAAAAGGATGGGTTTTATCCTGTAGGGCAGGGTTCCTCAACCTCAGCAACTTTAAGATGGGTGGACTTCAACACCCAGAATTCCCCAGCCAGCATGGTGGTGAAGTCCACCCATCTTAAAGTTCACCCATGGTGAAGTCCACCCATCTTAAAGTTGCTGAGGTTGAGGAACCCTGCTGTAGGGCTTTGGGTTCATCTCTCTTGTCAGATGTTGAACTACTGCTGTTTGAATTCTTACTTTTGATTTGTTTTGCTTCTTTTATATTTAAATTGTGAATCACCTAGAATGCATTTTGACACAGAAGGGTAGAAGTTTTGTAAGTCTTCCTTCTCTCTCCACCATTCAAGGGCAGAATCCTGCTTTTATAGCACAACAGTACTGCCCCAGTTTCACAGGAAATTTCTTTGGAAACTGTGGGGAACTTCTACCATTTGAAGAACGTACCATGAATGATTTCCTATTGAAGAGCAAATGTCTGACAGTGCAATCTTATACTTGTCTATTCAGTCAGTAAAGCCCCACTGATTTACTGCCTGTTCAACATATATAGAATTACAAGTCTAATTACAAGGGATGAAAAATAAAGGAAAAGGGATCTCTATCATACAGTCTTTGTTTTCCGTAAATTAAACAAAACTGTCCAGCAAAAATCTACCTACTTACTAGTTATAATTTTCCACTGAACATACTTCTGAATAAAGGCACTCCAAATTGTTCTTAGTGGATTAAGCTTCTTGTTAAATATGAATAAAATACTAAAGTAATAGATATTGATCTGGAGTTTGAAAGTCTGCATCAGTTGGTTTTAATTTTATAATAAATTATAATTTTATAATAAATTGGTAAAGGGGATATATTTTAGTAGTTTGTGAGTTTTATACAAAAATTCTTCTCACACGAGAAGAACAATCGATCTCTGTTTGCTTACTAGCCATATGTAAACAAAATGGAAGGAAAACAACATTCACATTTCAAATCTGTGTTTCCAATTTTAAGTGCATTTTATAATGGCATTTTTAGTCAAAGGTTTGTTTTCTCCAAATAGGTATTCTGTATCATTTATATGGTGCTTTGTAACAGGTTTTAGGACAAGTCACATATAAAAGTCTCGCTGCAGTTATCATATATAAAAACAAAGTTCCATTAGTTTTTTCCAACTTTTTGTCAATCAGTCTCAAAAGAAACCTCTCTGGCTTCAGTTATATATTAATCTTTAAAATGTTCTGAATTAATATATGTATATGTCCAATTTTTCTTAGTTTTACATCTCCATCAAGCATGTTAAAAAGTCCCCTCTTATTGTTCACATTTCCAACATATATTTGAAGTACCTTTATATATTTAGACAAAGTACCTTTATACATTTTAGACAATTTTCTCAGTGACAACATATCATTATATACAATGACACATTATTTTAGAAATCTTTTCTTTAAGATTATAACATAATGTAAATTTCAGTCCTTTCAACTGCATGTTCTCCCGTTGTTCCATTTGTATGTTATAACCAACATTTTAGCCCATTTTATCGTACATTCTTTCACTTCTTCTTTTTCTGTTTCAAATTTCAATAAAAGTGTATACATTTTAGCAATAACATGTTCATCATTTGTACACAATTCTGTTTCAAATGAGGACTACCTATATTCTATCTTGTATGAAAGAAACTGCTTCTCAGATGGCACCTGTCTGAATTTTTTTTTTTCCCAATTGCAATATACTTACATTTTTTTAAAAAACTAAACATGACTGCAGTGTTTCTAGGCTAGAGTCCTACACACAAGAATGGAATCCTCCATTATAAAATCTTTCACAAAATTAAAACCAAGAAACTGACGTGTAATATTCTGGTAGTTAATTTCATTACATTGTTTACAGAAACATGAGTTCTGCTGGCCCTGAAGGGAGAAAGAAAATGAGGGAATGTGATGGATTGATTGAATCACTGGTATATTATATACAAGGAACTACTGCAGATCGAAAACCAGATGATAAGGTAACTTTTCCAAACTAATGGAATCTCTAGGATTAAGATGGAGAGCATTTATTTCTGGCACAGTCTCCAAGGTGTGTTAATATTCATCCCCTCTTATAAATCATCCAATGACTTTATAATGCCACTTTTGGGGACATTCTGATGATGTTGCAAAAGTCCTTGAAAATCCAGCTGTTCTCCCAGGCTTTGGGTTAGGGTGGTTGCTGAACCACTGTAACTTGTTCTGATTTTCTCTTCTGGATATCCATGTTCTGTTTCTTAATTTTTATTGTTTCTTGCTTTTAAAGCCCAGAGTCGTTTAGAATCAAGCAGCTGCTGAAGTTTAATATAAGTAATAAATAGATCTCCAGCTAAAAAGTTCTTAGTTCCATGTTAATATATTCTGCTGAAAACAACTTGCTTGAGATTGCCCTGAAGCTTCACAGCAAAGCACAAATACAACATAGGCTAAAATACTACCCAGAGATCTCCAGCACCCTCCAAATGCTGCTCTCATGATTCTCAGCCATAGTGGTTGGGAGTGGTGGGAGTTGTTATCCAACATGTCTGGATGATGCTAAGTTGAAGAAGTATGACAAGATTTAACAAACCTAGACTTTCTCTTGGGCTTGCATACCCCAATATTGTCCTCCCTTTCTCTCTCTGGACTAGAAGGAAGGGTTTAGAAGAGTTCACCTCTGCTATTGATAAGGCCTCTATCCTCCAGTTCCAGAATAATAGAAACTGTAATAGATTAAGCTATGGTTGGTTTAAACAAGTAAAATTCAGTACTTTAAATTCAACCCTAAACAGCTGTCTGGTAGATTATTCAGGTATGAAATGAATTAAAATTTCTCATGTTTTATTAGTTGCTGTAAGTGGACCTAAACACACAAAACCATTCATTCATTCATTCATTCATTCATTCATTCATTCATTCATTCATTCATTCATTCTAGAACCCTATCCTTTATCTGATGAGGCATTAGAGCTGATTTGAAACTTAAAATTTGCAGAGACACAGCTGCTATGCACAATTTACCAAGAGCTATAAAACAAGGCCAACATATCTGCTTGAAACTACATTTCATTCCAGCTCTTTCCCATTGTTTACATAGCCAGAGTAATGTGTATTTGTTCATTCTTCCAGGCTACAGAGAATTGTGTGTGTATTCTTCATAATCTTTCTTACCAGTTAGAGTCTGAGCTCCCTAGTAATTATACTGAGAAACTCTATGTGCCAAAAAGAGGTGATCCATCTAAGAACAACAGCATTGGATGTTTTGGAACAAGGAGCAGGAAAGCAAAGCAGGTAACAGAGAGTCAAGGAGGAAATAGTTTTGTGGTAGATTCCCCAGCATCTCTAAGTAAGGCTGAAAAACCTTTGTCTGAAACTCACAACTATCCACGTCAGTCCTCCCTAGAAGGATCTTTCTGGGAATGCTGGGAATTTTAGTCCCAGTAGATCTGGTGGGCAACACTTTGGAGATTGGCTAATATAGAGTACGTATGTATGTAATACGCAGATATGGTGGATGAAAATGATCACTTAAAAATGAAACAATACTCTTAAAAACAGTAAAAAAAAAAAGATAAGCAGTCCTTGACAGTAAGGGAAAAATCTGAAAAGTACAGATGGGGAATACTTTGACTGATTGATTAACTGATGAGTCAAATTAGCATTGACTCTTGGCAACCTCATAGATAGACCTTCTCCAGGATGAAATACCTTTATTAGGACTAACCAGAATGCTATAGAAAACTTGCTAATCTCGTAGAACCATTCATCAGGCCTGCTGGAAATAAATTAAGGTATGAGGTTGTGACCAAGTTTATACAATTTCAAGACAAATTTGTTAATCTAGTTTTTCTGATGTCTCCCCACCCCAAATGTTCTGTGGATCTAACAATTATTTGATATAATAAAGATGGGTACCCAACTTATAGAAAAATGTAACTGTTAGTTGTGAATCTCTTTCTTTTTTAAAGTATACTGTGTTTTCAAAGAAAGTAAAACTGGTCAGCCCCAGTAATCATGATTAACCAGCAGATGCAGCAATGGTCTATCTTCTCTAGTTCTTCTTAACAATTATCTTTATATGACTGACCAAACAGGGGTTACAGAGAGTTTATGCACTACTGAGTCCACACAATGATTTACAGACAGGCATGTAATCAAGATTTAGGACTGTTGGTCACTAGCTACTGTTAGGAGTCAGGCTAGTTGGACCCCTTTGGATCTGCCCCAAGAAGACTTTGGTTCTTACTCACCTCATTTCTGATATATTAATCTGTTTGCCTATTTAGAAGCAACAAGATCTGCCTCTGCCAGAGGAAAAGAGTAGCCCCAGAGGCATTGAAACCCTCTGGCATTCTACACTGATAAGGATATATCTGTCCTTAATAGCAAAAAGCACTAGAAACTTCACTCAAGAAGCATCTCTGGGAGCTCTGCAGAACCTCACTGCTGGCACTGGACCAGTAAGTATCTGAGAAGGACATGGATATGACTGGTATTAATATTGTTAGTTTACTGCTGTTTCTCTTGGGTAAGCTCAGAGCAGCATACAGGGGGGAGGGGGGGAACCCTTACAATGGAGCCATAGGGAATAGAACAGAATGCTAAAACCAGTACAGTGTTAAGCTGTTCAGCAATAAAGGCCTGGGTAGAAGTAGGTAATGGATACCTATAAATTACCTTGCTGGTACCTGGTCTCATTTTAATTTAATGCCTTGGGTTTTTTTTCAAATATCTAGGCAACCACTGCAAAAGGAAGAGCTGGTCTCTAGTTGCTGTTCATCTTTTAATTTGTATTGTCGAAGGCTTTCACGGCCAGCATACGATGGCTGATGTGGGTCTTCCGGGCTGTGTGGCCGTGGTCTTGAACTTTTGTTTCCTAATGTTTCGCCAGCACCTGTGACCGGCATCTTCAGAGTGCAGGAGCACAG